AATAGCAGGAGTTTCCCAGGAAAGCTCAGAGAGGCAGCAAAGGAAAGGAGGGACAGTCTGGAGAGGAGCTGTGCCAGGCTTGACTGGGTTGTCAGACCCCTGTGGAGGTGCAGACGGTGCAGGGCAAGGCTGGCAGATTTTCCTGCTTCCTGGAGGGCTGGAGCAGGAAATTCTGCCTTGCTCTGCCCTCATTCCACCCTGAACCCTTGGATTGCTTGGGGAGGAGCTGCTCAGCTGCCTGCAGAGATCTCCATGTCCATGGACATTCAGCTCCCATGAGATTTCACAGGGTACAGGGCTCAAATGGAGGGAAGCAAATATAAAATTTATGGAATCAGAAGTTCCCAGAACGGTCTGGGTTGGAAGGGACCGTAAAAATCATCTCATTCCACCCCTGCCATGGGCAGGGACAGCTTCTACTACCCCAGAGTGCTCCAAGTCTCATCCAGCTTGGCCTTGGGCACTCCCAGGGATCCAGGGGCAGCCCCAGCTGCTCTGGGCACCCTCACAGGGAAGGATTTCTTCCCAACGTCCCATCTAACCCTACTTCCTTTCAGTCTGAAGCCATTCCCCACGTCCTGTCACTGCTGCTCCTGCTGATTTGCAAAACCACTTAGTGCAAAGCACTAAGAATCCACAGGGATTTTTTTTTTTCCTCTTCATCCTCTCCTTGACCCCTTGGGAAATGTCCCATGGGAGCCATTTCAAGCTCCTGCCGTGACTCTGTGGGCAACAATCCATTCCCATTGACTGGAAAGGGAATTCTGCCTTTCTCATCAGCTCTTCATCCTGTGCAATGGCTGTCCTTGAGCCTGGGATTAATTAGGACTAATGACCAAAAACATTATCATCAGGCTTCCACCTCTCCTAGGACTGTCCTGAACCAAAAGGAGGGAACGTAAAGGAGTGGATTCCAGCTGGGAAGTTGTTCCCAAGGCTGTGCATTCCTCGCTTTGTGGGACGTGTGCTGAATCCAAGATTCCCACAGGTGAACAGGCACCACTCAGAGGCTGCGAGGCTTCCCTTGGCCAACTTCTGTTTTGAATATTAAGCTTTGCCTTGTGGACCTTGAGGAATTCAGCTCCCGGGGCGGAGGAAATGTTGGAAGGGGTCAGGCGAGCTGTGCTCCGTCCGTGTCACTGGGAGCAGCCAGCAGCGTTCCAGGACACATCTGATTTTGTGCTTTTTACGAGGCAGATGTTTGGGAGAAGGGCTGTGCTGTTTATTCGAGCTGCCATCTCGCAGCCCTCCTCCCTCCGCGCGCGCTCGGAGCCCATAAATAAAGATTCCTGGGATTCTGCCGCCCTTTGGACAGCGCTGCCTTCCATCAGGGCCTGGACAAGCTGCAGACCCCGCTCCCCCTGCACCTCGCTTTTACAGGGGAATAAATCAGTCAGGGCTAAATCCTCTCTCAGTGACACGAGGATAAACGCGGGATGGCCGCGCTGGCGGCGGCGCCGCGGTGGAATTGCGAAGGGGAGTTTGATTCCTTGATTTTTGGAATGGTGCTGCTGGTTTGCTCCAAAAGAGCTTGGGCTCAGCGTGTCCTGGGGCTGAGCAGCAAGGCAGGGCTTGCTCTGGGCTGCAGTGCTGACAGCAGAGCAATTCCATGGATTTTGCTGGGATTATTCACAGAATTCACAGAATCACCGGGTTGGAAGAGACCTTTGAGATCATCGAGTCCAACCCAGCCCCAACACCTCAACTCAACCCTGGCACCCAGTGCCACATCCAGGCTTTGTCAAACACACCCAGGGATGGGGACTGCACCACCTCCCTGGGCAGAACATTCCAGAACTTTATCACCCTTTCTGTGAAAGCTGATGGAAATGAGTTGTACCTTCAGCACAGCTCCAAGAGCTCCAGGCCATTAATGCAAGGATAAATCCTGTGTAAAGTGATTGTTCCCATGGCCTGACACTGTTCAGGGCAGCCCCACAGGGGTGATCCCACCCTTTGGCTCGTGTTGGGATGATGATGGCGAGGAAGGCAGCGCTGTCCTCATACCGTGGTGGCCACCAGGCAGATATCCATGGAGTCACCGGAGATCCCAGCTGGTCTCAGCACGTCCCAGGGACACACTGCCCCTGTTTCTCCCTTCCCACAGAAGTAACCCCAGAGCAAACACATTTATTTCAGCCTGGAGGAGCAGAAGTGGCAATTCCTGCACTCGGATTTTGGAGGAGCTGCTCCTGGAAGTGGTGCCAAGAGCTGGTCTGGAGGGGTGGGAATGCTGCTCTTGGCTGCACTTTTCTCCTCCAAGAGGACCCAAGAAGTTGCTGAAGGCAGCAATCAGGGTGTTAATCCTCACTTGTTCTTCTAGGTTATCCCATTTTTTTTTAAAGGATTGGGAGGGAAGGAATGTGAAAGAGGTGCTGGCCTCTCTCTGCTGTGGCTGCAGCCTGTGGGTTTAAGCACTCTGTGGATATTCCCTTGAATATTAATATTAATAATTATGGAGATGAAGTGGATATTTCCACTTGAAGCTGTAGGGATCCCCAGACAACTCTAAAGAGACTTTGCAAAGGAGTGCCTGGAATTCTGCTGGCTGATTTTAGGGAAGCTGAAGAGCCCAGTGGTCACCTCAGGGTCCACCAGCCTTGCCACTGGACACAGGTGATTTACACCCCACTGCTGGTGGCACCTGGCCAACTCTTAATTGTTCATAAATGACTTTTTAAATGGCTCAATTTGGTTGCCCAGGGTGAGAGGCAGCTGTGTATGGCACAGCTGCTTTCAAGGTCCAGGAGAAGCACCAGGTGACCTGGAGGTGCCACCAAGCAGGACGTGGGGTCAGCAGCTCAGGCTGGACCTTCTGGGAGTGACCTGGAGGTGCCCTGGAGGTGCAGTGAGAGGTGCAGAGTCATTCACACACTCCCAGTTTTCCCATTTTGTTCTCACTGAATGACTCTGCTCACGGTGGAGTTTGGCAGGAGGGAATCCAAACTGGGATATTGCCATGGAAACTGGAGATCGGGTGGGAAGCTGATCCAGTGGGGCAGCAGGACAATGGCTTTGGACTTCTGTCTCCTGTCAGACTGTGTGGAACACCACAAACCCTTTATTGTGATCATCTCGTGGTGAGATACCCAGAAACATCAACTTCCTTTGTTTTTCTGGGAAAAACCAAACCAGGATCTCAGCCCCTGGAGGGATGGGGGTGATCTGTGACAACGAGCAGCACCACTATAATGAGCAAAACTTTCTAATTACAACAGCAGCAATTAAACCCCAGTGGTGAGGGATGCAGAGCTGGCGACACAGCCACGCTGAGCTCTGTGGCTCCATTTCCTGAACACAGAAATGGAATTATTTTGGAGTATCCCCTTTTCCTTCCCACTTGATCCCCACCAGTGGCTTTGCCCTGGGAGCTTTGGGGAAGTTTCAGGTTTCCTTGGAAGCTGAAAAGCACCATCCATAGGATTGCTGTCGGAATATGAGGTATTGATGATTCTGAGATTGTAGAAAGT